CGGGGGTCCTTAGAGTGGTAAATGAATTTCAGCAAGAAAAATGATTTTATTTGCCTTCACTTGTGTAAACATGAAAGGGCTGGGGGTGGGGGTGGGGGGGGGGAGGGAAGGGTGCGTGTACGCTCTCGTTTCTCATCTCTCTTTTTTTTTTAGTTTTAAGTGTTTTGAAAAATAAGTAAAAGTCGTATTTCAGGAATTTAAATGCATTTGCACCTCATTTCGAATAAATATTTTTGAGTGATTAATCATATTCGGGTGAAATAACAAGAGAAAGGAAAAGATATGCCTATACTTAGTGTACAAATTGACGCCCCTATTACATGCACCCTATTTAATTTTTTAATGAAAACAAAAATATTTAATTTTCTTTAAAGCCCCTCTGCACTACAAGATTTGGCCAGGAGACATTAGAGGGATTATCGTGGTCACTGACAGGTGGTTATCTCATCAACTCAACTGTCCAATAACATAAGAAAGAGAGGATCATGGGAGACCAACGGGCACCGCTTGGGCATTGTTTTCTATATAGAGGGAGCAAGTAGCTACAAGTAGTACAGCGGTGCTTAAAGTCGACTTGAACAGCGAAATACCATAATTTTTTGTCCAGGTATGAAATAATGTCCCCAGTACAATAATATTATCCATCAATTATTTTGTATACTCAGTTGGAAATGTTCTCAATAATGTCTCGTATGCTATACTATATGACTAAAAAACAAATGTGGTTCATGATTAGGGAGGTCGGAGCCAATGGCACTTAGTAGATTAAATAATGCTGCCCTCACCGTCCTTTACAACACACACGGAATCGTCCGAGGAAGGGAGATATGGGGCGTTTTGAATCACAACGCTAAATATTGGAGGTCATATGTTTTGTAGAAAGATCATTAAGTATGATGCTGTAAGTGTAAGCCATAATTTTTCAAATGTAACAGTCGCACTGGGGGCACAGGAGGTACCACCCCCCTGGAATGACGACACATGCCAGTAATCCTAATTAAGGATTTCGTGGGATTGGAAACGAGATAGTGAGAGAGAAAGAGGAATGGGAGTGGAGAGATTGAGACAGAGAGAGAGAAAGAGAGAGAGAGAGAGGGAGAGAGAGAGAGAGAGAGAGAGAGAGAGAGAGAGAGAGAGAGAGAGAGAGAGTGGGTTTGGGGAGGGGAGGGGGGGGGGAGACGGAAGGAGAACCAAGTACAGATTTTGCAGACAAAATATGTCCATAGATGGCGCTGTGACATCAATCTGTTTAGACACAACAAGTGCTTCATGGAAGTGTTCGGTGATGATCTTTCTCTTCTTGGTGTTGTTCTTGATGTGGGTGCCATTGTTGTTGTTGTTGTTCTTCTTCTTCTAATTAGGTGATCCGTTGCGTAGCGATCCAACGGATCACCTCTTAGTATCAGGGTGGAGTTCCCCTTTAACATACATGACTATTATTTTTAAATTCATCCTAGTTATCGTCAGCACTAATTTTATCACACCATACATGCGTTTCAATCACCACTAGTATTCACTATATCACATCATCATTATATTTTAATAAAAACTACTGAAATTCTAGAACTTTTGTATTTCAGTATATACATGTACCCAGTATATTTAGATATATGCTCATATGTGTGAGTACCTGAACACTCTTTGAAGAAATGGTCACCTCTTTAAAAAAATACATATGTATAGTAAATTTAGAAGCTTTTGTTGTTTGTAGATCTATTGATTTCAAATCAGCAACAGTGCACTCATTATGGGACATGACAAAACAGTGACAACAGAGAAATAAGAAGTATAAATATCATTTTATTAAATGACTAATCTGGATATCAAAAATATGTGTATAAAAGGCACGGGCAAACATACACCATAATAATATACGACAGGACTTTAAAGACATGTATCATATCATTTACACTAAGATCACATAACTTTTCTGCAGTATTATCTAACTTATAGCAGAATAAGCACTAGTTTTGCTAGAAAAAGAAGATATCAAAGCCATTTTATCACCCAACATACCGGTATTCAAGGAAAACACACATTTGTACCAAATATTGATTTCCGCAAGATTAATTCTTTGGCAAGATTGAATGGTTTTGTTCAATACAGCGAAATCTTTTCTCATTTTACAAAAATAGTTTGAAAAATTTATTAAAAAAAAAAAATCTAAGGCAATACTACAAAATAAACCACCAATGAAGTACTGTACATACATGCATATATTTATATCCCAGGATAAAAAAGTTTGATTTCTAAAATGCATAATGAATCATTATCCTGTATTATATTACTTTTTGCATTGACAACACCCTACAATAACCGATACTAATAAGGATAATGAAATCGTTGGGTATGATCGTCTATAAGTACATATAACACAGTGTAGTGGCTCTCGTAATTAAAATCAGATTTATGAAATGAAAATCTAATTGTGGAAAGACCTTCAACGCAATTACAAAGTCAATATTCAAATCTGAGAGAAACTCATACATATACATGACATTTATACAGAGGTTTTTTTACGCACACCCAGGGGCGGCGATCCTGGGGGGGGGGGCAATTCGTGAGGAAATATTTAGCAGCGAATCAACCAGTGAATAAACAGGGGGAGAGGGGGAGGGTAATGAGCACTAATTGTTTGTTTTTGCTCAACAAGGGGGGGGGGGGGGGGGGTTGTGAGCACTATATTTTTGTTTACTCAACACCCCCCTAAAAAAAAGGTAAAATAGTAGTTACCATCTTCTTCTTTTTTTGCCAGGGGTGGGGCCCATCTTCTTTTAGAAAAAAGGGTGTTTTTTTTTACTTTTTTTTTTTGGCCATGGGTGGGGGCCCGTGACCCCTGGCCCTCCCCCCCCCCTGGAAAATTTGAAAAAGTGCCCCTCCCCCCCAAAAAAAAAAAAATGTATAGCAAATACTGACTTGAGACGGCAACACACTTGAGTGCAGCGTGTAGACTAATAAAAATGCAAAAACCTTCTTGGTCGGTCGCTACGCTCCCTTGCATAATATCCTTCAAAATGTACAAGTAAATAATGTAGAAAATCTGTATTCCGTTTTTATACTATAGATTTGGTAAGGAATGTAATTTTTTAATACAATTTTTTTTTCTTCAAAAACCTGTGAGGGGTAGTCACTTCCGTCACCTTCGCCCCTCTCATTCACGTTGCATTTCGTCCCCCCCCCCCCCCCCCCCCGTCATGAAAAGAAATCATGCCCTTGTCACACCATATACATTTCAAAATTTAACATCCATGATACTGCATTATTTAGTTCTTTTGGAGGGGGCAGGGGAGGTGAAAAGCTTTTACAATTAAATATCTTAAACATATTTTCACTTTTTTTTCTTCATTAAAAGCACAAACATCTTAAATCTGAAATAAAATCTTAGTAAATACATTCAACTATCTTTTGCACTTCTCCTCATACAAAAGTAAAGTTTGTTTGTGTGTTTTTTTTAACCAAATTCAGCAGACAGCATACACAATTTGCATAGAATTGTGAACAAGTGCCCCCTAGCATATTTGAGAATCTTTTTTTTCCAGTTCAGTTCAGCATTTATTCAATTCCATAATTCTGTAATAAAAACAGCAACATCAACATGCAGTAAATATAATAGAAGTACTACTCATACATACTTATTATATTACGGTTGCAGTTATCAAAATAGTAAAATATTGACAGTGAAAAAAAAAAAGGGAATTTGGTTGCTGTATAAAAACCCTAACGGGTTTGTCTGGACAGCCACCATAAAATGAGATAGGGGGATTCACATGAACAGTAAAATTAGTAAAAGAATCATACAAAATGATATATGAATAAACAATTTTTAAAAAATCCAAAAACAGAACAAAACAAAATAGAACATAAACAAAACAAAAATATAGACCACACAACCCTAAACAAAATTGCACTGCGGAGTAATATGAGTATTGTTACAATTTAAGATCATTAGAAATAAGATATATTAAGCTTTCTTTTAAATGAATTCGAACTATTAACATACGTCATATCTGATGGTAAAGAATTCCATACAGAAGGAGCTTTATGTCTAAGAGAGTGTATTTCATATTGTTTTGTAATAGCAGATAAGTAATAATTTATTCTATTTCTAGTATTATATCTATGAACTGAACAATTTAATGTTTAAATATTGCATAAGTTATTGGGTAATCGGCCAAGCCTGTTTTTTTCTTTGCTTGTAGATTTCAGAGATACAAAATGCTTCAGGAAATTAAAAATGAATTGAGAGTTGAGTCCTTAGCTAACAAAATACCCTGCTTACACATCTTACACAAGATAATAAAAAGTACAATGTTAGTCAACTTTGTTAGTACATATGAAATCTACATACATCTGGGGAGTGTTTCACAAAGACTAAGATCGACTTTAAATTGGACTTAACTATGGTAGGCCATTCATGCCACTGGTTGCTCCCACCATTATGATCTTTAGATACTATTTTTTCCTTCAATAATGAATTATCAAAAATATAAATTCTGTAGATTTGTTACCATGATTTTGTACATCCTTTGAGAGACCAATGCCAGTAAATGGTGAGAGAAAATAGTGGCATGAATGGCCTGTCATAGTTAAGTCCAACTTTAAGTCAATGTTAGTCTTTGTGAATCACCTCCTAGGCTACTTTAATAGTCTACAGTTGAGTTGTGGTCGTGCGATTTTTTTTGTCCAAAAATCTATTTCAAAGTCATTGTCAAAGGTAGAATATGTACATGTGGTAAAAAGTAATTGTATATTGCAAGGTTTCAGATTTATTGATGATTTCAAACGAGCATGCAATCTACATGTACCTTTATATGAAATACAAGGCATACAAACAAGGGTAGTTTTTAACTATTTCTAGTTCTATTTGGAATATGAGGTAATTTAAGCCCCACTGCACTACTCATAGCTACTTGCGCCCTCTGTATAGCAAACAATGCCTAAGCGGTGACTGTTGGTCCCCCATCGGATCCCCTTTTTCTTATGTTAATTGAGAGCTGAGTTGATAAGATAGCTGTCTGTCAGTGACCACGCTGGGAGGTCTAATCCCTCAAGGCCAAACTAGTGCAGACAGGCTTTAAGTTTCTGTAGTCTTCTGCTTTAGTGCTCAGCCTCGCAGGTGTTGTAGCTCTTGAAGCCAACCAGAGCTGTAAAAAAAAAAAAAAGGAAAAGAATTACTGGTTATTAGCAAAATCTGAGTTTGTCTTTCATCATTAGCATGCAGATACATGCCATGCACCGTACAACTTAAAATTCATTTCAAATAAAATTTGGAAGAAATTGCAATGTGGAGATTTAAAATGTGGATTTTTGAGGTACAGAACGGTCAAATCATCATGATTACAAATACCAATATTGCCTAGATTGGTTGACCTTCTGGTCAGAGGAAAACATTGGATTGGTTGCGTGTGCCAGTAAACGTCACAACAGTAAACAATTGACCATCTCTTCCTATTAGAAGGCTATATCAAGCACTGTCATTCTGCTAGTACTATATAACCAATCAGAGCCTTAATCAGGAATACGTTACAGATTTAATCAACTTACGGACTATGGATGCATCTTCTGTATGGGATATATCGAGCAATAAAAAAAGAAGGCATAGTTGTGCATGCATAACAAATTAAAGATTGTCATGTGATAGCTTTTCAGCCAATAGGATGCTCTCTGACAAGGCAAATACCCTACGTCACAACCAGGTTACACCAACAAGACCGACATGAGACTGTACAAACAATTTACATTGCCCACTATGACCAGGACTAGGTCTGTTTGGGGTCGGCGTGGAGCCAGTTTTTGCAGTGCGACTCGGGTATTACATAATATCATTCATCATCATCACAATCATCTCTTGACCCTTGACCTTTGACCTCACTCACTTGGTTTGTAATAGTCATAGACCTTGATGACTGCATCCTTGGTCTCCTTCACAAAGATCTCCTGCTTCAGGTTAAGAGGAATGCAGCGTAATTCAGCGTCAAACTGCAAGGATCAAACCAAACACAAAGGCCCAAATTAACAAATGAGGTTTAAATTTAAAGGAAAAGACCAGTATTGGAAACGCCCAAATTTCAAAAAATGAAATGGAAGCTCTCATTACCAATCATGTGAAAGAATATGTTTTGACTAATACATGATGATATCATATTTATCATTATCATTTTGATGATTCCAGAACCTTGCAGATGCTAGATGCTAGATGATCAACCTTTTCTGATCGATTCCACAACGTTTCTTTCACAATGCAATCGCATGACCATAACTGGTCTTTACCTTTAACCCATGGTTTAAACCCTCATTTACATAACCCATGGTTTAAAATAAGCGCAAAATAAGCGCGACACAGTCAGAGGTCCAACATTAGACAAGGCAAGGTATGCTTAATTTTCGCTTAGGGTTTAAACCATGGGTTAAATTTAAACCTCCTTCGTGAATTTGGGCCAAAACCTACCAATGACTATAGATTAGCCTCCCACACAGCATTTACAGGAGACAACTACACACAGAAAAACAGGAAGAAGGTGTGACTGCTGGAACAAATTTCTTAAGCAACAATTAAGATTTACAAATTTATAGTGTAATAATTTTCTTGACTAATGAATTCTCTACTTTGTATTGACTTAAAGCATGTCTGCACTAGTTTGGCCAGGAGGGATTAGACCACCCTGCTGGTCACTGCTGTGATTATCTCATCAACTCAGCTCTCAATTGACATAAGAAAAAGAGGATCATGGGGGACCAACGGGCACCGATTAGGCATTGTTTTCTATATAGAGGGAGCAAGTAGCTACAAGTGGTACAGTGGGGCTTTAATAGAGGGACCATCCCTGTCTTGTTTGTAATGGGTTAAGATCACCATTTCCTCTAGGCTTTATTATGACCAGCAGAATGTCTCACAGTTTTCAGGTGAGAATGATATTCCAATTGTATTATATTTCAATGGTATTTGGTCCCCTTAAAGCCGTCGGTTTTTGTAGAAGTTGCATTTTTCACACTAAGTTATCTCAGGTTTAGTATTCAAGGGTCTGACAAAAGGTTAAAGCTAAAGACCAGTTATGGCCATGCGAATGCATTGTGAAAGAAACGTTGTAAAATCGATCAGAAAAGGTTGATCATCTAGCATAAGGTTCTGGAATCATCAAAATGATAAGAAACTTGGCCAAGTCTTCATAAAGTTAGAAGCACTGTACACAGAAAGATGTATATGGGGTTACACACACGTGCGCGACACGTGCATTTCATATCTTTCAACAGGCGAGAGATACACTAATTTACCAAATATATCAATTAGTAGGCGGTTTCCCGTCAAAATTGTTATCATCATGTAATCATCATGTCATGTACTCAAAACATATTCTTTCACATGATTGGTAATAAGAGCTTCCATTTCATTTTTTGAAATTGGGGCGTTTCCAAAACTGGTCTTTACCTTTAACAAAATAATTACAAAAATAAAGCAATATACAGTGAAACCTGTATAGTTAAAGACTGCTAAAGGAAGACAAGAAAACATGATGGTTTTTTAAGTTCAGATTCCTTTAAAAAATGTTTAATTAGAACATGATGCAAGGGAAACAATCATTGCTGTCTCTATAGGTATGTCTCCATAAGCTCAAGATTGCCAAATAGCCCGCTATTTCTGATTTGGGAAATATGCCCGAAGTTACAAATCGCATCTTCATCAGCTCGATACTCGAGCTCAAGATATTTTGCTCAACGTTCGCGCATAGTGTGAGTCTTCGGGCTGGTGAAGAACACACCGGACAAATAACGGGATATTTTGCAAACTAGCCCAAGATATCTTAGGATGATTATCTCAACCAAATATTCCGCTAATTGCAACTGCGGTCTGATGAAGACGCAAATTAGCTGGATAATTTCCGATCGGGATAGTTAAAATAGCAGATTATTTGGCAATCTCGAGCTGATGAGGGAGGCCTTATAGGCAGGTGGTCTTTCTATACAGGTGGTCGCTACAGCAGGTTTGACCGAACTGACCTTATCAAAGTAGAGTGAGAGAGGTTGTCCGGGCTTGTACTTGTCAAAGCGCTTGAGGCCGATGCTGTTGCCATCCTGGAACCTGTTCAAGGATTGTTCATGAGGAACGTAACCAGACACCATCTTGACTTCCACGTTTGCCATTCCAGTCTCCCCACCGCTTCCCACGTACCTACAAATCAAGGATGTTATTGAAAATTTGATATTAACTCATAGCCTGCCATGAGGCTACATGCATGCTATCGTTATACTGCTTTGTCCATGCGAGAGAGCTATCGCTTGAGTGTCATGTGAGTGCGATGCAGCATTCGTAGTAGCAGTTATTGTTCATGCTCATTGGACTGTGCTGCGTATTTTGCACTCACTATTCATAGAACCCTCACGTTAATTAGATTATCTCCAAAACAACCTGGCACGGGGGGATTTAGGGCTTGGCACAATGGGGATTAGCCCTGTGGCATGATAAGAGTTAAAAGGGATACCGGTTTGTTTCACCTAATGAGCCTAGCAAGCGACTCGGACATGTTGGACTCCCACGTGTGCTGTGCAATGTGAAGCCTAAAGAAATCTGAATTGGAAGGTGTCATGGCTAGAATTCAGGCAACGGTCTAAAAACTGGCATCCCTGCATGGAGAGTGTTTCGCAAAGACTAAGATCGACTTTAAGTTGGACTTAACTATAGCAGGCCGTTCATGGCACTGTTTGCTCTCACGATGATCTAATGATCTTTAGATAATATTTTGTCCTTTAAAAATCGTCAATACTTACTGGGCCAGAGGGGATGAGACCACACAGCAAGGTCACTGACAGGTGGCTATCTCATTAACTCAGCTCTCAACAAACGTAAGAAAAAGAGGATCATGGGGGACCAACAGGCATCGATTGGTGAAGTTTTATATATAGAGTGAGCAAGTAGCTACAAGTAGGACAGTGGGGCTTTAAAGGCACACTGCCATACTTGTAGCTACTTGCTCCCTCTATATGGAAAACTTCCCCAATCGGTGCCTGTTGGTCCCCTATGATCCTCTTTTTCTTATGTTAAATGAGAGCTGAGTTAATGAGATAGCCACCTGTCACAGTGACCTCGATGGCTCTCTGTGTGGTCTAATCCCTTCTAGCCCAGTAGTGGTGACGGTCTTTAAAAATGAATTCTGTAGATTTATGACCATGATTTGTACGTCCATTGGGAGACCAATGCCAGTAAATGGTAAGAGCAAACAGTGGCATAAATGGCCTGCCATAGTTAAGTCCAACTTAAAGTTGCTCTTAGTCTTTGTGAAACCCCCCCCCCCCCAGACGATAGTCAGGGCAGGGTCATGTGTATAGCTAATCCAAAGTTATGCACATTGAATGTGTTGCATACAGTATTGCAGGCCCACATATTTTATTTCTATTAGACCATAAAATATCCATGAAGCTAGACTTAGGTTTTATGAGAAGATGCCCTGTATTCCATCACGCACTGCACAGACAGACATTGGGTTCAGACAGGACCCAAATTTGTCCATTTCCAGCCCTAACCAAAATCCAACCCTGGAACACATAATATACCCTAACCCTAATCTTAAACCTATATCACAACTGCAATCCTAAACATAACCCTATATCTTAAGCCTATATCACAACTGCAATCCTAAACATAACCCTATATCTTAAACCTATATCCCAACTGCAATCCTAAACCTAACCCTACATCTTAAACCTATATCAAAACTGCAATCCTAAACATAACCCTATATCTTAAACCTATATCCTAACTGCAATCCTAAATCTAACCCTACATCTTAAACCTATATCACAACTGCAATCCTAAACCTAACCCTATATCTTAAACCTATATCCCAACTGCAATCCTTAACCTAACCCATATCTTAAACCTATATCCCAACTGCAATCCTAAACCTAACCCTAATCTTAAACCTATATCACAACTGCAATCCTTAACCTAACCCTTATCTTAAACATATATCCCAACTGCAATCCTAAACCTAACCCTATATCTTAAACCTATATTCCAACTGCAATCCTAAACCTAGCCCTACATCTTAAACCTATATCCTAACTGCAATCCTAAATCTAAACCTACATCTTAAACCTATAACCCAACTGCAATCCTAAACCTAACCCTACATCTTAAACCTGTATCACAACTGCAATCCTAAACATAACCCTATATCTTAAACCTATATCCTAACTGCAATCCTAAATCTAACCCTACATCTTAAACCTATATCACAACTGCAATCCTAAACCTAACCCTATATCTTAAACCTATATCACAACTGCAATCCTTAACCTAACCCTTATCTTAAACCTATATCCCAACTGCAATCCTTAACCTAACCTTAATCTCAAACCTATATCCCAACTGCATTCCTAAACCCAACCCTTTATCTTTGATGTTTGGACCAAATGTTGCAGGAGGAAATTTCAAGTGGTCTAAATATTTGACGGGAGATGCGAATGTCATGGGTTCGAGCCCCAGCACGGCACTAGTCTCATTTCGCAAGATATGATATGCATTTGCCACTCTCCACCCAAGTGTTCAATGGGTTCCTGCTAGCCAGGAATTCCTTGAATGCTGTGAACACTAAAAGGGGCCGGTAACCTAGCTATATTGATATTGGAGGGCCTTTAGCGCTTTGCATCGTTGATATCTGTATGTGGGCTAAAAGGTTATACAATAACACTATTTATTCTTAAACAGATATTAAAGACCCCTTCGCTTACCTGACGCAAATCTCCAGGGTCTTGTCCCCGCAGGCTGTAGGATCTGAGACAGAGTTGCTTTCCCACTCTTTGATGGTTGTAGTTATGTTAAAGAGGAGACGGTTGGGAATTGCAACTGGCACATTGTACATTAGCTCAGCCTTAAGTAGAGAAAAGAAGGATCAAAACATGAAAATCATTACTGATTTTATTATTTACGATATAAATCTACGTATCTACCTATTCTACTTTGCTATTGTTGCACCTCAACATTGCATCACCTAAACTTAAAACACATCGCCAAATTGCTCATACCCCCCCCCCCCCCACCAATAGCGCCCTCCGTGACCCTTGCGTCCGAGCGCTGCCAACGTAACCTCTTCCTCTTATCACAATTTCCCTAGAACACACCTTGGTAAAGGCGCTGGGGATGGAGGGAGGGAAAATAGGTAGATACGTAGATTTATATCGTAAATAATAAAATCAGTAATGATTTTCATGATTTACATCAATAAATCAACGTATCTACCTATTCTACTTTGCTATAGACCAGCACAGATTAATGCCAGGTGGTAAAAACCAAGCAAAATTATCAAATTAATGAGAAATAGACGACGAAGCCGCCTTCAGAGAAGCGACCGCGAAGGCTCGTTCGCCCGCGGGCACATCTTTGAGGTAAAAAGCAGTAAAAGAACTTGGAGACTTCCAAAAAGCTGCCTTACAGATATCTCGAACTGAAACTCCGTTGAAAAGAGCCCAAGACGTACTGACACTGCGAGTATCATGAGCACGAGGAGTCCTGCCAGGCGTCAAGGCCTCAGGGCCCGCAGCCTTGATAGCCAGGACTAACCACCTGGAGATCGTATCCCGAGATGCCGCCGAATGTGGCTCTCGAGAAACCAGAAAGAGCTGATCCGACTTGCGAAAAGGCTTCGTCTTGTGAAGATACCATTTGAGGGCGCGAACGGGACACCACAGCTTGTCCCCGGAGACCGAAGACAAATCCGACAAGGGATGGAGCACCACTTCCACTGAACCCGACGTGTCAGATTGATTCTTAGCAATAAAAGAAGCCTTGGGAATCAAACGAACCCCACGTCCTTCCCAGCGGATATGCCCAGGGGCAACTGAAAGGGCATGAAGTGAGCTCCTACGCTGACCAGAAGCGATTGCCATGAGAAAAACCGTCTTGATCGTAGTATGCAGAAGCGTCGCAGAACACAGCGGTTCGAAGGGAGGGCGTGCTAAAGCTTCCAAAATCTTGGGTAAACTCCACGCTGGCGTCAGAGGTCTGAAGAAGGGTCTCTTAAGGGAGAAAGACTTCAAAAGAGCCGCTAGCTGAGGAGCAGAGGAAACCGAAGTACCATCGGCAAACCCCGAATGAACTGCAGCTATAGCTGACCGATAGCCACGAATCGTCGACAGAGCTCTTCCCTTGTCATACAAAGAGATCAGAAAGTCAGCAATAGAAGGTAAAGACGCCTCTCTAGGGGCGATGCCCACCTCCTCACACCAAGTGTGAAAAGCATCTAACCTGGAGTTGTAAACCGTCCTGGTCGACTCTCGTCTACTCTGGACTAGAAATTGTGCAGCACGTTCGGAGAAACCTGACGAATGAGCCCTCTCTCCGATAACGGCCAAGCGGTCAGATGGAGGATTTCCGGCCGCTGTTGTAGAAAACCGGACAGAGGTTGCGACACCAGATCCGGATGACATGGCAACGACCACGGAGTCCCCACCAGGAGGGTCAGGAGGTCCTGAAACCACGACCTCGCCGGCCACCAAGGAGCTATGAGAATCACCATCGCTTGATCTTCCCTGATCTTCCTGAGCACACGGGGAATCAACGCGTACGGGGGAAAGGCGTAAGCCCTCCACCCCCCCCCACGGGATCGCGAAAGCGTCCAGAACAAAAGCTCCTGGTTCCCGGACTCTCGAACAAAATCGAGGAAGACGATGGTTGAGCGAAGTTGCGAAGAGATCGATGCCGAGAACACCGAACACTCTCACCAGTTGCCTGAAGACAGTCGGAGACAGAGTCCACTCCGAAGGAAGGCACTTGCCTCTGGAGAGAAAGTCCGCTATGATATTCTCTTCGCCCGGGATATGTGATGCAATCGGGAACACCCTCGCCCCCTTGCACCACGCCCAGAGTTGAGAGGCCAACTCGTTCAGAGCCACAGAATGAGTGCCTCCCTGTCTGTTGATGTACGCCATCACCGACACGTTGTCCGTAAGTATCAGAACCGAGCGACCCACCAGACGAGCACGGAAGTGACGAAGCGAAGCAAACACTCCCAAGAGTTCCAACACATTGATGTGGGGCAGAAAGTCCAGATGACTCCAGTCTCCTGAAATCATTGACCCCTGGCAATGACCTCCCCAACCCAACAGCGATGATCTTCTCCCACGCCGGGAGAAATCTCCGGAGCCGCCCGCCGACCTGAGACCCAAGCACTCGGGGAAAGCCATCATCTAGAGAATGACTTCCCCCCTCCACGAAAGGGAGTCCGGGAAGATGAATATCCCCCGCAACTACCCCTGGACCACCTACCCCTAGAAGTCGAACCACGAGACGACGCACCACGGAAAGAAGAATCACGGTAAGACGAATCTCGAGACGAAGGACGACCACGATCCTGGTATTCCTCCTCGACCGGGTACCAGTCCTGAGGGCGGCCCTTAGACTGGCCGACGTTCTTACGAGAAGAACCCGAACTCTTCAAACTTTTCTTACGAGGTCTGGAGGAAGGAACCGGCTTTTGGACATCGCGAAAAGCAACGGACAGGTCTCGAGCCTGCTTCTCACCATCAATCTCGGCTTGCAGTAGAGTAGTGAAACTATCTTCACAAAGGTGGGGGCTGGCCACTGGAATCTGCGGAAGCAGTCCTGGAATTTGGCGTGGTCGAATGCCCAAACTAGTGAGCACAGCCTCCCGACGATGCTTCTCGATGGAATGCGAAGCCACCGCAAGCTGTGAGAAAAGAATACCCGATACCTCTCTCATGACCTGCACCAAGATCGAACGATCCTCAACAGTGATATGGAGATCGTCCGCACTAGCCAAAAGCTCCACCAGCATGTCCATCCGGAGACCAGAAGCAGTCAATGAAGAAAGATCAAACAGCAAGTTGTCACTTTTATCAAAAGGACCACGAGTCCCAAACTTCTTCCCCAAACGACTGGCCACAGCCACAAGTTTGGGAGAAACCCGTTTAGGACACAAATACGACTCAGCATCCTGAGGAACGAAAGCGTACTTGTTCACCTGCCGCTTAAGAAATCCCGTCGATGACGACAAGTCTTTTGCGGCGTTCACAAATTCTTCTTTGTGTAGATCAGGAAGAAACAGTCCCTGAACTGCTGAAGAGTCCGATTTAGAAGACAGGAAGCCCCGCCGCCCCGACGATAACTCCGGGACGACACAAGACTCAGGCACATATTTGTGAAACAAGGCTAACGATTCCGCCGCCAGAGACACCAACGGAGTAGACGCATCATCCCCCGCAGCTGAACCAGACGACTGAGCGATGGAACCAGCGTCCCAACCATCAACCGAGCCCCCCCCTATCTTGACCAGATAAACAGGGACGATCCCCGCCTATCGGAGTGCCCAACGATGCGTGAGGCAGAGAAGCAAAAAGAGAGGACCCCGGCGGAATACGACAACTCGAAACCCGCACCGGCGACTGCTCAGGAGAGATTGATGCATCTTCGGAAAGCTCCGAAATTAAATCAACCGCGATCGGATCCGAAACTGAAGTAGGAAGAACCGGAGGAGCCGACTCGGGCATCGAAGAGCGAAACGCGTCAGCAAAAGCCCGCATCCAATCCGAAAATTCCGGCGGGGGTGGAGGCACCGACGGAGGGAGAGTAGCCACCAAAGGCGGACCCCGAGGAGCCGCAAACGGTTCCGTAACATCAGAGCGCGGTTTCTTCGACGGATAAACAAAATCCGAGGAAGAACCGGCAACAGCGTCCCGGATACCCCGCCTCTTACGAGAAGTAGCGGCCGATGAAGAAACGGGACGGGTATCCGATAAAAGCCCGACGGTAGGAGCTCCACGCAAACCGAATCGGAAAAACGGAACACGCACCGACGGAGAGGCGCGGTTAGTTGAAGCACCAGGATCCGACTCGGCTGCACGGGTATCCGGACCGAAATCCGGAACCGGCAAAGCCGACAAAGGAACAGAAGAACCGGTCGGTGACCGGTTCAAGTCCGGATCCACGGTAGCAACCCGAATATCCGTCGATGGATTTGTGCACCGACCAAACAAAAGACCTGACGGAACAATTGATGGCGGTGCAGAACTAAGGTCCGTTCCACCCAGAGTTGATACCTCTGGGTTTCCGGGAACCGTCCCGAGGGGAGATAACATCGCCCCCTCGACCATTCTCATGGGCTTGCCTTGCCCGCATAAATGTCCGCTGACATTTGCATCCCCGGGGTTTGCGGTGTCACCACCGCTCCCGAGGGGCGTAACTAACAAAGACTTGCTAGAATCCATCGTCTTCTTTCTCGCGACAGAATTCGATTTCTTCTTAGAAACACCTGCTAAGAGAAAATTAGAACTGCGAGACATATTAAACCTTGTGAGAAAGAAAGATTAAACAAAGGGTACGAGCAATTATCAAACAGAATTAAATAAACTACCAGTGACTGAAACACCCCACCGACTACCCCCGCACGCACCCGAGACCTCGGAGTGAGAACGGGAAAACGCGAAAGAGGAAAAGAACAGTTGTCGGTAAGAAAACGTTCTAGAATACTGATAAATAAATAAATTCACGGAGTGAAACTACTCTCTAACGAAAAGGAAATCGTAGAGAATAATTATAAAAGGCGAAAATGAGAACCAAAAAGCGACTAAAGAGGAAAAACTCTTCAACTTTTGGGAGCGATTTATAGTGTAACTTATCTGTTCGGATGCGAAGAGATAAGAGGAAGAGGTTACGTTGGCAGCGCTCGGACGCAAGGGTCACAGAGGGCGCTATTGGGGGGGGGGGGGGGTATGAGCAATTTGGCGATGTGTTTTAAGTTTCGGTGATGCAATGTTGAGGTGCAACAATAGCAAAGTAGAATAGGTAGATACGTTGATTCATTGATGTAAATCAGGGGGGTGTTTCACAAAAAACTAAGATCGACTTTAAGTTGGACTTAACTATGGCAGGCCGTTCAGGCCACTGTTTGCTCTCACCATTTACTGGCATTGGTCTCTCAAGGGACGTACAAATCGTGGTCACAAATCTACAAAATTTACATTTTTTGATAATTCATTATTGAAGGAAAAAATATTATCTGAAAATGATAATGGTGAGAGCAACCAGTGGCATGACTGTCAGGATCTGTCTAGATCTATTTCTCTGATTTCATAATCCTCTTTGCTTTTCTATATTACCTTTTTTTTTCTTTCTAATACATTTATTTGTTCTACATCGTTAGTAGGATCTAGCCCTCTCTCAGTATTCATCTTTCTCTTTGTTTCTCAGCATTACTTTGCACTGTTTTTCTTCTTCTCTTATGTATCTGTATTTTGTTCACCTTTTTCTGTTTACTTTACAGCCCCTTGGTTTTGTTTCTTCAAAATTGATATTGTTATGTGCATTGTCAGTAGGATCTAACCCCCTCTCTGTGTTTATCCCCCTCTTTATTTCCCTTCATCAGTTTATCTCATTCCTCCCTTCCCTTAGCTTCCTTTCCTTCTTAAATTCATTCTTCCTCCTTTCTAAAATTATTTTTGTTTCTTCCTGTCTGTTAGTTAGCTATTCACCGGGCCTATACACAGCAAGCCTTGCTTTACTGTAGGCCCTTCAACTTTTACTATATACTTTATATAATGAATGATGAAACGTTTAACTCATAGTCTGCCATGAGGCTGTATGCACGCTCCCATTAAAGTGCTTTGTACATGCGAGAGAGCCATTGCTTTAGTGCCATGTGCATGCAAGGGCGCATTCGTAATAGTCATTGGACTGTGCTGTGTGTTTTGCACACGCTATTCATAGAACCATCGCGTTTATCAAAATATCTCAATATAAACTTGGCATGGAGGGATTTGGGGCTTGGCACAATGGGGATTATAGCCCTGTGGCATGATAAGAGTTTAACCGATTCATTATGTTGTACTTGAGTTTAACCGATTCATTATGTTGTACTTGACTTGTATGCGTTACTATTATCACTGGTTATACTATTTAGACAATATTAATTGTATTGTCTTAGTTTATTATTAAAGAATGTACAAGAAAGAAATATATTATGTATATGAAAACAACAAAAATTATGTGGAAAATAAAAATGAACTATTGCATTTCTTTCCCCATACCTGGAACAAAACACATCCACTGCCTGTAGCTGTCACTTCCAGCTCCGTCGGCACTTCCTCTAAATCTTCCCTCTGGAGTACCAGTCTGTTGTGGTTGTCTACCTCAAAACTGAGCTCCTGGGGGTCACTAGGAGGTGCCCTTGCAGCGTCCACATCAACGCTCACGGCGAGAGGTGCATCGGGGTCGTAGGCAAAGCTGGCAAATTTAGACAAGGCTTGGAGTCCTACGACAGTGTCCTGTAAAAATTCACAGTCACTTGTAAGCGCATGGAGATGTTATATCGTAATGCGATGATCACATATACCCCGCACTGGGAGCCTCCGGTTGAAATTATGGATTCTTTGAGATATGACTATAGCGTAGCACTATGCCAACCACCGAAGATCCATTATTTTATGGGTGGCTCAAAAAGACTGCATGTTATATTTGATCTATCTATCTATCAGGCTATAGTTCATCCAGACGTTGGACAAAGCCCTCCTCATAACATTTCCATTCTCTTCCGTCTCTAGCTGTCCTAGTCCAAGAGGCCGTTCCCATGTATGATGTTGGATTTATGATGTTATGATGTTTGATGTATATCCCTCATTAAAAAATGAAAAAACAAAAAATGTAAAGTAATTAGAAATACATCTGAAAATGGATATCAACTCACACCTCCGCAAAGAGCGCTGCTACAGTGGCTGTAGTGGCGATATTGTGAAAAGCCTATCGATAGCTTTGAACGGTGACTTTAATATCCAAGATATACCCCGTTTGACGGCAAGCAATATCTATTAGCTCTTCACCTCACATTTCTCCTTAGCTATATTCTTGCTTTTGCATCCTATATCATGTTGTATTTCGTGTACTGGGTTTGTGCCGGTTGTTGTGCCATTTCTCAATGATACTATCCGAAACTTTACTTCCTACTTGTTTTCTTACTATATTTATTAAATATAATGTGACAGGATGCTGTCCAGGCAAAGCTGTGCCTTATTCTGATTTGTATTAATTCATTGTACATGTATACGTTATCCCAATTTATGTATTATATTTCACTTGGAATTGCATGTTTTTTCCTTTGTAAAAATGTTTTTAAAAATGGAACTGAATAAACTTAAATGAACTGATGTCATGTTAGCCATCCATGACCAATCCTTGCAATGGAATATTTTGATGTGGGATATAATATCTAATCACTAATACCTGAGTTGATGAGAAGCCACCAAGTGCATTACGCTGCGTGTTGAGCCACTTCACCATCGGCATGGCTTGTACCAGAACATCACCAGGTGATGGTCTCCGATACCTGTACGCAAGAATGGCGTAAGAGGTCATCTCCACAGCAGAGGAGTCGACCCTGCAGAATCTGTAACAGTGGGCATCTTCTTCTACTTCCGTGCTGGGGGTCTCCGACTTACTCCAGTATCTCAGGCCAGCTGGAAAGAAAAAAAAACCCATCAAAATCCAATGAAATGCATAGTTTACTCCATTTACCATCCACCAAACTGCGACCTCAGAAACATTCCTTTTAGTTTCAATCAATAAATCGTTCTTCCACAAATCATTCTTTTAATTAACCTAATGTATATTTGAACACACCTGAGCTGATGATCTAGTCTTCTGAACATGTTCAGTCAAAGGACTGAATTACGCCTCATTCGGTTATGAAGCGGTACACTGCAGCGTTTTTAAAGCCCCACTGCACTACTTGTAGCTACTTGCTCCCTATATACAGTGTGAGTCAAAAGTTTACACCTAGAAAGTTGCTAATTATTTTAAGAATCATCTACGTTCAGTAAATTATTATACATCTTATGAAAGAGTGTTTTATCCCTAATCATTTGGTATCATTTTTGTGTGGTATGTGTTCACGCTTGGATGAACAGGAGGCATTTTGTACGAGGGTGCAAAATTTGACTTGCGCCAAAGTTGTTTATGTGATGTTTAAACAAAACAATTGGGATTTGGGTATTAAATCAATTTTTGTAAATCCAAATATCATCCCTAACAAAATTAATCATGCCACACATATCAAATATCAAATATCAATGAACATTTGTGCGCGTATGTGTGTGCGTATGTGACTTTCCTTGTGCAAAAAGCATATGCAATGCAATTCATTTGATACATTCAATTCATTCTCTCACTTCGCTATTAAATCCAAACAACACGCTATAAGCATCACTTTGGCGCAAGTCAATTTTTGCACTCTCGCAAACAATGCCTCCTGGTCATCCAAGCGTGAACAAATACCACACAAAAATGATACTAAATGAATTGGGATAAAACACTCTTTCATTAAGATGTATAACAATTTAATGTTCATAGATGATTTTTTTTAAATAATTAGCAGTTTTCTAGGTGTAATTTTTTTTTTGACTCACACGGTATAGAAAACAATGCCTAAGCGGTGCCTGTTGGTCCCCAATGCAGGGGTTATAGTGAGCACTAAAAAAAAAAAAAATTGTTTTTTTTTGTTTTCCCCTCAACCACGCCCCCCTTTAGTAAAAAAAAAAGAAAGAAGAGGATTCGCGAGGTGTGAAGTAGATGGGTACCCGGTAGGATGTGAACATTAATGTGGTTGGAAATCCAACCACATTAACGTTCACATCTTACCGGGCGCCATTTTACAAGCACGCACATGCTATTGGCCAGAATACTCCCTAGGGAGCAGTGCATAGCACTATCATGTGCGGATTAGCAATTGAATCCAGTGACTTGGGTGATAATAATTACAATGTAAAGCACTTAGAAATATATACGCCGTGATGGCTCAGTGGTAGAGCAGTGGTCTCGTCACCGAGAGGTCCTGGGTTCGAAACCAAGTCAATGCGCTTGTGCCCTTTGGTAAGGCATTAATCCTCATTACCAAGTCCCTTGGAGAAGACTTAAAGCTGTCGGTTGCTTGCTTCCAAGCATATATGCTTTCTTAAATAGCAGTCAGGTAAAACAATCACAACATCTAAGAGCTAATAACAATACAAATGTGACTTTTATTATTATAATGTGGCAAGTTATTTCTTTCCTTATGAGACCATAGCTTACCATCTCCGAGGGCCCTTGTGTTCAGGTGGTTGAGGGCAATGGACCAAGGCACACGATAGGATCTACCCAACCCCAGAGCATAGCTGCTGATAGCAAGAGTGTAGGTGTCCATGGTCTCTCTTCCAAACCTGATGCCATTCCTGATGCAGTTAAAACTTGACCTCATGGGGGGCGACTGTCAGGGTGTGGGGGACAAAGGGGAATATTGTTATATTTTGTTCAAGATATGCAAATAATTTGAGCTAGAGAGTATGTTGTAAAGTAATACTGTTATCGCTTTCATACTCATGTCATTTCTGATGTCACTGAGACCCAAGATCAGGAAGAGATACCATGGAAATAGGGAGGGGGATGAAGGGGAATATTGTCCTTTTTTTGTTTAAGATATGCATTTTGTACCAATCACTAATCGCCCCCCAAAAATATTTTGCTCTTCATATCCATGTCACTATACTAACCTCACTTTAGAAATCTAGCCATCTGATTCATCAAAATTGGAGTCATCATTTTAGCCATGCCCTGCTTACCAGTCAATAGTCTTTTAAAAAGTGCCCTCGTACACGCCTACCAGTCAATAGTCTTTTGAAAAGTGCCCTCATACTGCAATCCCCATTGGTTTACGTGTTACGATTGTCTTTGTGCGAGTGCGGACACCATACAGTGCTTTTTGTCTGCGGTTCCCAAATGATTGAAACTTTCAGTCATTTTTCCAGCGAAGATTAACAGACAGTGTCTCAGATTTTCTGTGATGTTTTAACCAATCTTTACTCAATAAAAGGATAAGGTAAGAATTCTTGGTAGATTTTTGTTTCACTGATTCGTCACAAAAAAGACATATCAACTGCTTTAATACTCGAGGTCTAGCTGTTGGCTCTTGAGAACGTGCGAATCCTGCCATGAACCCGAGGCGCCCCTGGGTGGGCGGCGCGCCAAGGGTTCATGGCAGGACTCTTGAGCCTATAAAACAGCCAGGCCTCTCAAAGTAGTCAATATCTCTATACTATATAACTAAATTACTACATGTATATTCAAATATTGCTTTGACAAAGAGATGTTGCAAGTTTACATACACTTTTAACAAACGTAAGTGCGACTTCTGAACAGACTAGTTGACTTGGGTTCTGTGTGAGGAGTTTTATGTTATCCTTCATTTTCATTTTCATTTTCATTTTCTTCATACTACTTATGGCCATTAACCTTAAGACTCTCTGTGACTTCGAAGAGGCTTAGACGATGGACCACATCTTGCAGTGCGGCGGAACGGGTTGCACAGATGAAGACCTGGCCCTTGTAAATGAGACGGCCATCGCAGCCAACAGGCGATGGAAGAACTTAATTTAATTTAATTTAGGAACTTTACATTATTCTTGATCTAAGGAGACACGAACGAACAAACCTTAAGAATGCCTGGAAAAATCTTGATTTCATACATTGTTGTCGGAGCACCATTAAAGGAGGTGAATTATATCATTACAAGAGCTTTGTGGGAAGACACCAACTTATAATACTTCCTTAAACTGGCCTATTCTTGTAATCATTGCCAAATTGAAGAATACTTACCTCAGGATAAGCACCAGCCTCTATCAATGCTATGGTAACAAAGGCAGTCAAGGTTACTGGACTGGACACGGAACCCTAAATAAGGCAATCAACAACAAACAAAAATGATAATTCTTATAAGGGTGGTCAACAAACAAAAACTCAAAACAATCATGTAAAATTGCAAGGAGCGAGGAAGGAATACGGACTGATGTAATAATAATAATAATAGCTAGTTCTTATGGCTGGGCTCCAGGGCTTGCTTAACCCTAGCCTTTCAACAAGGCCTTGTGACTATGTCTATTTTCCACTCCAAACAGCAGCCGAGATGATTGAGTCTAGATTCGGGGTGAACGCGCGACTGAGTGGCGCTAGCCACGAGGCCTTTTGGAATCTAGATTTTACTGCTCTGCATGAATTATTCATTACTTTGGATTTATTTACCAATCAGAACGGCCATTTCCCAGTTGGCTTCGTTCGCGATTTCGTTCATTATCAAAACATGTAAGAAAAGGTAAAAGACGTAAATAAGTCTTGCTTATGAGATGAACATTTGAATGATAGATACAAAATATTACATTCAAATCTACGTTGCATGAAAAATTACAATAAAACAGGAAGCATTTGATGACTTATGCTAACAATCATAAGTGAGGTAATTGGACTTTCCCTGTATATAAAATGAACCAGTCCAACTCATTTTTGTTCCATGTAGAGGTCAGAGGTCTTAGCCCGTACGTCATTCTTAGTTCATAGTAGACCATGTTCGTACTACGTAGAGTTTACTGTGCTTGTGTGTGTGTGTGTGATGGATATTATATGCTGACGTCATGCGAGGATACGTTCACTGATTGGACGCTACCATTTCGGTAGAGAATTCCAGTCGGAAACAAAGATTAGCTGAAGAAATCCAATCTAGATTACTAAAGGCTATTGGCTGCACTACTCGCTCTGTCGTTCACTCTGGTTTTCGTGATTAGTCTCTTTTTAGTGGCTCGCCGTTTATCGGACATGTGGCCTTGATGAAAGGCTAGCTTAACCCTTACTGTACTAGGCTATTTTGAGCACCTCGTGACTGAGGGGGGGGGGACCTGTACTCAGTTCTCTATATCATATTCATTATCATCATCATCCTCCTCCTCCTCCTCCTTATCATCATTATCATTACCACCACCACCATCATCATCATCATCATCACCATCACCATCACCACCACCACCACCACCATCATCATCATCATCACCACCACCACCATCATCATCATCATCACAGAGTAACAGACCTGCATCTCCTTGTGGATGACGCGTCCTTGTTTCACAAAGCAGCCGTTCTCGTCTCGAGGGTTCCTCCTCAGCCACATTTTTGCCCTGTCCCGGGGTCTCTTGTCGATGTCGATGAACTCCAGGGCCTGGTTGAAACACTTGAGAACAAAAGCCGTCAGCCAGGTGCTTCCCTCTCCGTCCCTCTGACCAAAAGCACTGTAGGAGTGGTCGTTGAGCTGGTAATTGAGCTGCCGCTGATATCCTGCAAAAAACGGTAAGCACCCCCGTGAGAATTCAAAGTAGGATGAAAAGATACTGATTTGAACCAATTTCGAATTTTGTCATTCTGTAAATTTGGCATCCCTGATGTGTTAAAAATCTAGGCTACATGATTCATGAAATGTCTTTCATTTGCTCCGCCGACAATTGCTCCGCCGACATTTGCTCTGCCGACAATTGCTCCGCTGACATTCGCTCCGCCGATAATATTTCTATCATGGGTTATTTTTGTTTTTGTTTTGTGTGATTTGTTTTGATGTTGTTATTCAGGGCCGTAGCCAGCATTTTGAGAAGGGGGGTGGGGAGGTGAGTTTTAATTCCCCAAAAAAAAGTGATAAACCTTTTCGAAAGACGCAATTCTCTTTTTTTTGGGGGGGGGGGGGGGAGCAGGTGCAGAAGCTTTTAAGTAAAAGATAAACTTTTCTCGACCTTGAGTCGACCTCCTTACAACAAATGGTGATTTTCTTTTCTTAGGCACAATATAATTTAAGGTAATATTTATTCCCTTTTGGTAAGCAATTGTATATAGCGAGAGAGAGAGCTAAAAATGTAGACTAGCTTATCATTAATAATGAATAGCATCTTCCTGCTTAATTTCCCTCCCGATTAAATGAGCATGTTTGTACCATAAACGGGCGAGCGAGCGTTTTAATCCAAAGAATTATTTTCAACATTAATGAGTTTCAAAACAGAGGTTTTTTGCTGCTGGACGGGTCGGGCACATTCATAGCGAGCGGGTGGCTTTAAGCTTATTTTATATTGAATAGCATCTACCTGCCTTCCGCCCTTCTTCATCTGATGTTTAGGAGCTGCACATTCGTCAGATAAAATGAATATGTTTAAAATCATAATCGCGATTTAGCGTAGCAAGACTGTGAGCAATTTTGTTTGCACTTCTCTTTTGATAATAATTATAGGCATATTTTTTTTCTCCATAAAATAACTGCATCTTCTTGTCCCGTGAAAGGGAGGGCACAACCACATATTTGGGAACGTTTTTTGTTTGTTTTTAATTGTTTTAATTGGCGAACAAGGAAGGTAAAAATCATAGGTTAAAATCTTGAATAGAATCTTTCTACATTACGCCCCTTTTGAATCAAACGAGCACGTAATCAACGAGCACGTTTTAATTTGATGATCATTTTATAAATTTAAATGCTAAAAAACGAATTTGGACAAAAAATAACAGCTGCGGTGACAGAATCGGCGAAATTGAATGAACATAATATGAATTTGTGTGGCCAACTTACGAAATCCTATACCGAGAAATCCTATAATAGCGATCTGAAATTCAATTTTGCTGAATTTTGGTTTGGTTTAGTGGTTTATTGAGAAATCACATCAAACAAGCAGCTCGCAGGCTGAAAATGTTCAATTTACAAACAAGTTAAAAATATAGAGAGATATAAACATATACAAAACTAAAATACATATTGTAAGTTATTGTAAGATGAAATCGAAATTGCAAAACAAAGTTATACAGTAATGTAATAATAAACTTTCATGTTGAAGAACCAAGACAGTGGCAAGGAGAGAATGGAGAAGAAAAAGGAAAGTTGTTTGAGCGAAAGAGTTGAGAAAGTATTTAACAATTGCTAAACAAACATTTCTATTACAAAAAATGAAATTAAGCATTAAAAAAAAACCTATTGGATGGGATGAAATTAAACCGTAAAGTCAAAATGACAGTCTCAAATCTATTATTTCAATGCGAAGTAGTGCCGGAAATTTCTTATTTGTTCCAATACACAACATGAATAGAATAGAATGTCAAATGTATGACTTGTGCGTGTATTTTCTCTACAGAAGACCAATAATTATATGCAATTCGTAGTATATTATATACAGAAAACAATTCTGAATACTTTCTGAAATTGTCCATAAAATAAATAATTTGTTTTTCATGATTAAAAATGAAATAAAACTATACAATATGAAACTGTATTAATACAATCATGGACAAACTCGATCATAGTTGTTAGATTTTAGAAGTGAAATTACAGTAATATAGAGGCAATTTTTTTTTAAAATAGAAAAGAAAAGAAAGAAAGTTAAATCCCTATAATTCATGGAAAGAAAGGAATTCAATCGCCCTAGTCTTCCCATCAGAGAACTTACACCACCCCACCCCACTCCACTCCCACCCAAGAACATGGATAGCAATAGGATATATGCTTAAATACAGTAGATTAATTACTCTTCTTCAAAGTTCATAGCATAGAAAAAAAGGATCCTTCTTTATCTCTCATTGGCGCTTTTATTCTTTAATTTGATTATGCCATGAAAAAAAGTAGACACAAATAAATAAGAATAATTCAATATATTATAAAGGAATGAAGTTATATCAAAACTATGTTCAATTTCGCAAATAAACTGTGAAGTAAAAAGTGGAACGATATAATTATTTACATTGTATACAGTTATACTCACTCGTTATTACAATACAAAAGAAACGTATTGAAAACAAATCAAGATTTTATGTTATATAACCTGATTGGAAAAAGTTCATTAGGAGGCAAATAACCAAAGCTTGCATACTACCAAAAGTATTGTTTTCAAAGCAATATGTTTATATTCGTCAATCAGTGATGTTCACTGATTCCAAATCTTTCCAGAGGAAGGGGGATGTTACGATATGCGATACCCGAACATCCGGTATCCGTGGTAGTTGAATAAACAACATGTCTTCCATAACAAACCAGACTGCCGACTCTATAGGCTATTATCTACCTTAATAAGAACCTCAAACTCATCACTAATTTCAAAACCATATCTCCTTCAATGAATTGAATTGAACTTAATTCGATTCCAATCACATAAAAAGTAACATTATACATTGTTGTAAAACATAGCCAAAGAAAAATACATTGAAAAATAAATATATACATTGGAAAAAGAAAGAAAAAGAAATGAAATGGAAGACATAATTGAATCTACTAAACGTATAGGATGAAAAAGGCGCATCTGTAAAAGCCACAGGGGCTTGATGTATTTTGGGTGCACCCTAAATAGCGCATCACAATATAATTAATGTGTACAATTATAATAAATATTGTAAAGATTCACAAAATCAAATGCTACTTTAGAGGGCGTTGTTTACACTGAAAAATATCCAGATTACCGACGTTAAAATAATGAGGCCCTATTTCAGTTGCATTAACGATGAATAAAGAAAAAAGATTGATCTTTATTGCGGTATGTCACTGAACAGTGCAATAACTCTTTTCTCATGTTATTCTTAGAGAGTACAAGTTTCTACTGTAAGCATACACATGTATGCATATAACTGGTGTGTTCAAAGTATCACTATTTTTCAAATACGACTCTTAATTTTTTTTTGTAGAATAAGTCCACTTATCCATTAAAATGTATCTTATCTTGATATGTAAATAAAGATTGATTATATTTGCATACATTGAGAGCTATAAGCGTCTCCTTATCCTTCTAATGTAATTTATATTATACTTCATTTTCAGAAAACTCAGGAAAGGCGTTAAGGTTTGTTCTCTGGATTTGGAAAGATATATGCGTGATAGTCTATTGAGAGTGTATGCATGCTTCGTCTGTCAAGTCGTTGTTGTTGACATTGTCAACGAAATAAGATAAGAGGGAGGTAATTATCTTCTGGCATAATAAGGAAGAGTGATAAAACTGTAAATGAAAGCAAATTAAATATAAGTCTACGTTTCTCAGGGTCTTCAGACTCCTGCCCCGCTGTAATTGTATGATCTAAACAGGTTATCATTGTCATAACTATTTCTTTTCTTTTTACTCTGGCCGTGGAAAGAAATAAGAAATCAAAGAAAAAATTGTTCTAAGCATTTAGGTCAGGCATTTTTACAGTGAAAGTACAAAGTTCTTCAGCATTAGATGTGTTATCCTGGAACATTCAATAATCATTGTTTAGGCCCCTTCCCCCCTATCAGCTCCGTCAATTAAAGAATAAAATAACTTACTCTCTGCAACATGTGTCTTTACAATCGTTTTAATGACGCGATTAATGAAAGAAAGAGCGGGTGAAAATTGTACTGAAAACGCGACAAATCAAGATACTGGGTGACAGAGTCAAAGAGAGATAGGTAGAAAGAGGAGAGTATTAGTGATAGATGAGAGAGAGAGAGAGAGTGAGAGAAGGGGGGGGGGGCTTCGGGAAGTTGAGAAATAGTCGATACCTATTGAGGAATCTAGGTAGAGTATACAGTACCGTTTAACAATGGAATAGGAGCTGGATTAAATAAGCTCTCTCTCTCTCTCTCTATCTCTCTCTGTGTGTCTTTTGTCTTTCACACAAACACACTAATGGACTTTAGATGTAATATACCAATGAACAAAACATCCAAACTTGATTCGGGTTGAGTCATTCTTATCATTGATGTGTCCAAAGTATCACTATTGTTACGAATGAAAAAGATAATAACTGATTAAGTGTTATAAGACTATGTACCCGTAAAGCAATATCTCATATTTTGATATGTAAATAACAATAATCTTTCTAAAGCAAACAGCGGGAGCATTGAGTAGCTTCTTATACTTCTCTTGCGATGTATAACATCTTTTGTTTTCAATCCAACAAGTCACTGAATTGTTGAATACTGGCATAATTTCGATTATTTAGACTTAATATTATTTCACATGTCTTCAAATAAAACAAATTGAAAAGTAAGTATTCTTTTCTTTTTGTAAATATCTGTTCACTTGCCTCTTTTGTTATTGTTGTTGTGTAAAGTGGAAAGAAAGAAACAAAACATTGCATTCGTTGTTTAAAATCATCATGGAAGTCAGCTATAACAAAGAATGTAGCGATAAAATGTAGGATGGCCGCATATAGAGAGGCTTCGTATCCTGGGGAAGCATTTTGAGAACGATGTCATGTTTGATGCTAGTAAAACGATGTTAATTGTCATGAAAATCAGGACAAGCCATAATTGTTTCATGCATGTGCAAAGTGTGTGGGCCTGCGTTCGCGTACAGTTAAAGGCAAACATGCGCAGGCGCAAGCACCAATGGTAATTAAGTGTTAATTCCGCGCCATTAAAGTTTGTTATGACTTTTAATACAGTTTTGCATAACATAGAATATAGCATACTTTCATAATTATAAATCCACTTTTATGTGTCATAAGCTATAATTTTACTAAGTACGACTGAGCAATAATCCAATCACCATTCCTTAATGTTTTGCGGTGATTTTGTATAGCTCCTTGTTTTTCTCATGATGTATAATGCATCCATTCTTATTCTTATTACAGCTACATCTTTTAAGTACACACTACACGCCATGGCGTCAAGGTTTCCTCCAGAAAACCGGGTTCAACTGAGAGCAAGAAAAGGTCATGATATGAAGTGGTCATGTGACAAGCACGCTGAGCCAGTCGCGTTTTACTGTAAAGAACATGATATTCCTATTTGTCACAGATGTGCGACCAAAGATCACGGCAAGATATGTGAGCTAGACGACATCGAGGATGTCATCCTTGAGAGGATGAGAAGACTGGATGATAAACAGCAAGAAATAGAGGAAACAAAGAAACAGCTGAAAAAGCTTGACTCTAAAATAGAGTCCAGTGCGACTTCTACAAGTAATCATCTTCAGATAGTCAACGATGAGGTTAGGTCCACACACAAAGATGAATCAAAGAGTGTGAATGATGATGAGGAAAAGAAGATCCGTCTCATCAACGAGGAGGCGGATGAGGAAATTCGTATTATTAACATGAAGAGGGACAGACGAATCAAAGGATGCAATGCTGAGAAAGAAAAGCAGCAGCTAATCATCAAAGAAAGCCAAGCAAAAGTATTATCAGAGACAAAGGCAATCAGCGAAGTAATTTCCAAAAAGATCACAGATCTTCAAAGTAAGAATCAGCATGCAATCGACACATTTGATAATACTGACGCCATGATCAAGAGAATCAAACAAGATGACAAAACATTAGTGAATGAAGCTCCTCAAGTACTTGCATCAATTGATGACAATTTAAATTTGAATATTCATCAAGATGTTAGCGACTGTCTTGATAGAATACAACGTGAAGTTCAGAAAGTGAAGTTTGTCAAGGGTGAAGTAGGCGGGGAACACTTCAGGAGAATTGATGGCTATATCGGTAAATGGGAGCTTGTCAAGTCAATCCAAATTTCATTGATTGTTAATTACCCTCGGATTTGTGGTTTTATCAGTGATGATGAGATATGTGTATTGGACATCAAGAACAATATGTATGTTACAAATATCAGCACTGAGCACACAAAGAAAGTCATTAAAGGAGATGGTAACGTGTATATTACATCATGCGCCCCCATAGACAGCAACGTAATAGTATGTGGTAAGTGGAGACGAGGCTGCACGGGTGACAGTGTGGATGGATGCATCACTCTCTATGACAGACAGTGGAAGGTGATTAGAAACATCAGCATACCGAGGAATAACCACGATAGGAATGCTAGTGTGTACATTGATGTTGACAGGGATGGGATGATCCTCGCTGCTGAGTTCAATCAGTTTAATATATACGTCATCAACCCTGCTGATGGTAAGATAGTAATCACTATTACGATGCAGGGCAAGAAGGTGAAGGGTGAGATACAAGCCTTGTCATCAGGTGATATCATTGTGAATACAGATGATAATGAATTTACTGTCATCTCACGATCAGGAGAAGAGAAGGCTGTCATACATTCTGATGATTGGGTGTGGTCATGGTTACGCATTGACAAATTGACAAACACACTCTATATCACACACACGGATGACGAGAGTACTACCTGCACAGTTGATCAGGTGTCATGTGATGGTATCATCGAGGAACGGAACATCGTGCAATATGAGGACTTTTACGTCTACACTAATAACCCATGCCTCGTAACTTCTTCTGGTAACCTTGTAGTTTGTGTGGGAGACAAGCTGTTTGTGTACAAGAAGAGATTTATTGTATGAATCATCAGATAAAATAAATGCAATTCCTCATACTGCAGAAATTAATCAGCCTCAACGTAATATAGGATTATTTGATTGTTCACATAACTCAGTTGTAAGTAAAGCATTTCTATTTTTCACAAAAGAATTTGTTTTACATATTACATTACTTCAAAATCTCAGCGACTTTTTAGAAGTTGTTACAAGCTCCTTACCCGGAATAAAATCATTTTTCCCCTTTCAATAATTACACAATATTTTCTAAATATAATAATCAAAATCAGAATCATAGTAATTTATATATTTTCTTTAGTAATTGAACAACGCGTTTTGAGAGTATTTCTGGGGTACAAACTATTTTCAATATACTGGATGAACCTTATCTCATTTATGTTTTTAATATTTATATTCGATTAATTTTGAATTTAATGAAATTGTTTTTGAAGCTTTCATGTGGAACCAATATTCAATGTACCCGGTATGCGATCAAAATGAAGCATGGATTGAGAAATGACTACTAATTGTAGAAGAAAAGGAAACAATACATGTCTTCCCTTTCGGTACAAAGTCTCAATAGGCTTAGCCACTTTGAAACAGTGAGGATATGTTATCCTTACAAAAAAAAATCTTGACATCGATAAGAATAAGATTAGACAGATTTTCCTCTATGTCCAAAGTTATCGCGAGATTTCAGTTGGGGTTTTAAAGGGGCATTATGACAACTAATTGTAGAAGAAAAGGAAACAATACATGTCTTCCCTTTCGGTACAAAGTCTCAATAGGCTTAGCCACTTTGAAACAGTGAGGATATGTTATCCTTACAAAAAAAATCTTGACATCGATAAGAATAAGATTAGACAGATTTTCCTCTATGTCCAAAGTTATCGCGAGATTTCAGTTGGGGTTTTAAAGGGGCATATTTTGTCCCAAATCGTTCATGTTCAAAGTAGGTTTTTATCTATATGATGTCAGTGATGTGTAAATGTAGCTAGAACATGGAGGGTTATGACCTAATCTTTTGAAGTTGTGCATGGTTTAATTAATCGAGGGATTGAATTCATATTGATTATAATTGATTTATATTATTGATGTATACTTTTTTTGCGATACTGTTGTGAATGCATGCTAAAACATGATACATTGCTTTACATGTACTGAAAACACATACATGTGCAGGCGATTCGATAAACCTTATATTAAATCATCTATATCGAATCGCAGAGTATGACTTTGTTAAGTTATTTCTTTTCTTACCGCTGTCAAACGCCTTTCCAATTAAACTGCTATGCATCTTTCTCAAATCCGTCAAACTGAAAACACCACATGTTCTTGATAAATCAGTTCTGTAGACTTGTTTTTCGGTATCTTCACTTCTGGTTGTACTTTTCTTTTCTACATCAATCCCTCAATAATTTTTTCATACGAGCAAACCTTTATTGTTTTAATATCATTACCAACGATATTGGCCCCGTTCCTGGTAGAGAATATTTTAAAGAAAGTCAAGCTATCATTATTGTGAGAAGTATCTATATAATTTGTTTGAATAACCTTTTTTCTTTAATTTTGACATACGACACATGCTATCTACGTTATATTCAGTTATAGTCATTTAAGTAAACTCTTCTTTTTAATGTGTAACTTTAATATGTTGCTTTTTATGTTGCTTTTTATTTTCTTATGATTGTAAACTACGCTCAATCGATCATTACATGTATCAGAAAACACATGATTTTGTTGAAATACATAACATTTAAAGTTCAATATAATTATTTTCGTGGGATATAAATATGTTATATTCTTCACAGTAAGCCTATATTCATGTATCTTCATTTTGTTTTAGGTTCCATTCCTATTCATAAAAGTAGTATAAAATATGAGATTAGACGAGCTTAAGAATGTTTTTTTTTTTAAAATTAAAAATCAGGCTTGTAAATATAGTTTGCAAACATTTGTTAAACTTTCTAGCTGACAAAGAGGAAACTGGTTATAGAAATAGCCAAAAAGGTTTTGAGAATAATTGTCATGTTTTGTCATTTAAAGGAATTGTTTCATCTTATTCAAATATTACTTTATTTAATCAGAAATATCACTTGTCAAAAGTGCAAAGAGTAGTTGCTAAGCGTTGACGAAACACATCTTACTATGAAGAGTACTTTGGTAGTCATGTTTATTTTGTTCATTTTCATTCTGGTATCTGTTATTATTTTATTACCTTTGACCTTTGCAAAGAAAACCATGTCAACCTGGGTTTTCATTTCATGAGCCCAATTAATTAAATAGAAGTTTTATTAAGAATACTTGATTAGTATTTGTCATTCTCTGAGTGTGATCTTTAAAATGTATCAATTAAAAAACATGTATTTCTTAAATTTGTTTTAAATGCTTATAATTGATTTGTAATGTTTTGTTGGAAACATGAATAAATTTGAAATTTGAAATTTGAAATTTGAAATAGAAAAATGAAAATGCATTAGGTATAGTTGGAATAGGGTTAAGTAATATAAGTGAGAGAAATGGGATAATGTAGAAAGAGAATAAGACAGAGAGAGAGAGAGAGAGAAGGGTGGGATGGAGTGGGTAGACACCAGTAAGAAACAATAAAAAAAATAAATAAAAAAAAGAACTAGACATGTAATTGTGCTAGCTACAAAACACGAGCATTAGATCAGGAACATTGTTTATGAGATTATGCATCAATAAGACATCGAAGACTATCATGATTATTCATCATAACCGTATTGATTGTTTTGATAATGACTGAGATGATGATGATGATGATGATTATATTGGCGATGTGGAAGATGACGAGGATGTTAGTGTTTAATCACTATGGTTATATTATATACCTTGGTGATGATACATCATCATCTTTGTCATCATCGTCATCATCATCATCATCATCATCATCATCACCTTGATCATCGTAATATCACCATTTCATTTTCAGGAACTGTTAGCTTATCATCAGAATAATCACAATTCTTTGTCCTAATCGACTGGAATTTTCTATTGTGCTCTCTCTAGCTACAGGTATATTGCTTTTAGTAGCTCATTTGGTGGTTCGTGTAGTGCCCAAAACACTGTTTGTCAAACTGAGAAGTCAAACACTATTTAGGAGGCAAAGGATGCTTGTTATAATGTACAAAATCATTCATTATCCATTTATGAGAATAAAAGAGGACATGGGTAATAATAAGCTTGGATTAGGATACAACAAAATGTTCATACCAATGCAAGTATTAATGAACAAGTTGCATGTCAAAAGAGTAAAACAGAAACGGAACAATATCCATGATTCTAAAATTGAAATTAAAGTTGATATTAATTTTGGATTGTCAACTTGGAAATTTGATTAGTTAATTTACATGACCATGTTTCTAGCTTCTTGCAAAAATCAATGTTAAAAAATGTTTCAATGTTTCAAAAGTGGATGGCAATAATTCAATGATTTTAATTTCTGATGCTGCCAAGCATCATTTAACCCTCTTCTCTCCTTCTGTAATGCCTATGTCCGTACGTGGAATAGAGTTAAGTGATATGAGGGACAGAAATGGGAGTAATGTGAATATACAATAAAAGAGAAAGAGATAAAGATAGAAGAGAGAGAGAGAGTGAGAGGGTGGATGGAGAGGGGAGACCCCAGAAAGATACAATATTTCGTAATCACAGAGAACATGATGCAATAGTTAAAAGAGTCTCACCAAGAGATGACAATTTGCTGTGTTATCTAATAGACGCACTGAACTCCAACTAGGTATTGTTATATAGCGAATAGACCGGCTTAAGCTATGGTCACATCACCTAAAAGAAGCCTGCTCGGCGGCCGGGCGGCGAGTTTTGAGCCAATAACGCCCAGGCACCGATTGGGGGCCGCCCGGGGCACCGTTTTTTTTAAGGGCATCGCTCGGTCGCAATTATATAGAGGAAATAGATATTTTTTTTTTAAATTGAAAAGAAAAGAAAGAAAGTTAAATCCCTATAATTCATGGAAAGAAAGGAATTCATCCGCCCTAGTCTTCCTATCAGAGAACTTATACCACCCCACCCCACTCCACTCCCACCAAGAACCTGGATAGCAATAGGATATATGCTTAAATATAGTAGATTAATTGCTCTTCTTCAAAGTTCATAGCATAGAAAAAGGATCTTTCTTTATCTCTCATTGGCGCTTTTATTCTTTAATTTGATTATGCCATGAACAAAATAAGACACAAATAAATAAGAATAATTCAATACATTAAAAAGGAATGAAGTTATATCAAAACTATGTTCAATTTCGCAAATAAACTGTGAAGTTAAAAGAGGAACGATATAATTATTTATACAGTTATACTCACTCGTTGTTACAATACAAAAGAAACGTATTGAAATCAAATCAAGATTTTATGTTATATAACCTGATTGGAAAAAGTTTATTAGGAAGCAAATAACCAAAGCTTGCATACTACCAAAAGTATCGTTTTTAAAGCAATATGTTCAATTTCGCAAATAAACTGTGAAGTTGAAAGTGGAACGATATAATTATTTATACAGTTATACTCACTCGTTATTACAATACAAAAGAAACGTATTGAAAACAAATCAAGATTTTATGTATAACCTGATTGGAAAAAGTTCATTAGGAAGCAAATAACCAAAGCTTGCATACTACCAAAAGTATTGTTTTCAAAGCAATATGTTTATATTCGTCGATCAGTGATGTTCACTGATTCCCAATCTTTCCAGAGGAAGGGGGATGTTACGATATGCGATACCCGAATATCCAGTATCTGTGTTAGTTGAATAAACAACATGTCTTCCATAACAAACCAGAATGCCGACTCTATAGGCTATTATCTACCTTAATAAGACCCTCAAACTCATCACTAATTTCAAAACCATATCTCCTTCAATGAATTGAATTGAACTAAATTTGATTCCAATCACATAACAAGTAACATTATACATTGTTGTAAAACATAGCCAAAGAAAAATACATTGAAAAATAAATATAAACATTGGAAAAAGAAAGAAAAAGAAATGAAAAAGAAGACATAATTGAATCTACTAAACGTATAGGATGAAAAAGGCGCATCTGTAGAAGCCACAGGGGCCTGATGTATTTTGGGTGCACCCTAAATAGCGCATCAC